CCGTCTGTTTGAGGGTGATAGCCTGTAGAGAGGCCTGGTGTTATCCCCATTAGGTCGTAGAAGTCTTTTGTGAATCGAGACATGAATTGAGGACCTCGATCGGAGACGATCTTTTCAGGAATTCCGTGGAGTCGTATTACATTATCTCGGAGTTGACGTGCATAACCGGCCGAGTCGAGAGTGACGAAGGTGGGGACGAAATGGGCCATTTTACTAAATCGGTCAACAAAGACCTGAACGGCGGTGTAGCCCTTGGATTCCGGTAATGCGCCTATGAGATCGGTGGTGATAACCTGCCAAGGCCGATCTGGTATCGGGTTCGGGTGTAGAGGGGCGTTAGTCTTTGTCCGATGTGCCTTGGTGCGTTGACAACTCTCGCACCCTCGTACATACCGTCTGATATCTGTACGAAGACTCGGCCACCAGAGCTCTCGGTTCACTCGTTCAAACATCGTTCTTTCTCCTGGGTGCCCGGCTAGGGCTTCGTCGTGATGATCTTTCAATATTCGCGCCCTTAGTTCGTGATTTCGGGGAACGTATACTCGGTCAGCTAAAGGGATCGGGTAGGAACTCGTCGCGGACTCTCTTTTGATCCAGACGATCCTATCCTTCATCTTCCAGGTATCCGGCTTCTCTTTCAAGTTCTTCCTTACTACGTCGTCTTGTTTCTGGAAGCTTTGACGTATATCTGGTAGGTATCCTTCGTTGGTGTCAAGTAATTCGAAATGTACGTCTGGGAGAAGTATCTGATCTTCGTTATCGTTTGTGCCTTTAGGATGATCGATCCGTCTGCTTAACAGGTCGGCCTTCGTATTCTGATTTCCTTTGACGTGTTCCATCTTAAAATTATAATCTGCAAGCTGGGATGACCATCGAGCTTGGCGTCGATTGTATTTCTGCGGTTGACGGAAGTAGAGGAGGTTTTGGTGATCTGTGAAGATGGTGAAGGGGTGTTTCGATCCTACAAGGTGATGTCGCCATTCATCTAACGCCGTCATGACTGCGAGCATCTCTTTGTCGTAAATTTCATAGTTCCGTTCTGCAGGGGTAAGGGCTTTTGAGAGGAACGCTATGGGTCTGAATTTGTCGTTTTGTTTCTGGGATAGGACGGCTCCTACAGCGAAGTCAGAGGCGTCGGTTTCTAGTTTGAATGGGTCTTCGTCGTTTGGTATAGCAAGGGTGGGGGCAGTAGTAAGCGTTTTCTTCAACGTTTCAAAGGACGTCTCTTGTTCGTCTTTCCAGGTCCAGTCAACTTTTCCAGTGAGCACAGTGAGTGGTTTCGCAATTCGTCCGTAGTCTTTAACAAATCGTCGATAGAAATTGGAGAACCCTAAGAATGATTGGAGTTCCCTTTTGTTCTTTGGTGCGGGCCAGTCAGCGACCGCTGCGACTTTTAACGGATCCATACGGATAGTGTCTTTGGAGATGATCATGCCTAAGTACTCGACTTCCTGTTTCTCGAATTCGCACTTCTCTGGTTTAAGATACAACTGATTTTGTTGCAGGATACGGAGGACTTTGGTGACTATTTGACGATGTTCTTCGAGTGTTTCCGTGAAGATCATAATATCGTCTAAATATACAATAACTTTTCCTTCCGTGATCAGTTCTCTTAGGAGGTGGTCCATCATGGTCTGGAAGGTTGCTGGCGAGTTGGTAAGTCCGAAAAACATGACGAGGGGTTCGAACAGGCCGCGATTGGTCCTGAAAGCGGCCTTGTGTTCGTCTCCTTCTTGGATTCGGACGTTGTTGTATCCCCATCGTACGTCTAGTTTTGTGAAGTAATTGGCACCTTTGAGTTTATCGATAAGTTCGGATATGAGGGGGAGGGTGTAGCGATTCTTTATGGTAAGCTCATTCAGCTTGCGATAATCTTGGACAGGGCGTAGTGAGCCATCTTTCTTTTTGATAAAGAAGAATGGTGATGCGTAAGGTGATTTGGATACTCGAATCCGTCCACTTGTTAGATTTTCGTTAAGGAATTCGTCTAGATGGTGTTGTTCGTCTCGGCTAAGAGGGTACGTTTTACAGTCAAGACCATTAGCTTCGGGTATTAACTCGATTGCATGGTCCCAAGGACGTTTCGGGGGAAGTTTGTCGAATGATTCTTTGGTGAAAACGGGTTCGAATTCATGGTAGATTGGAGGAACGACATCTCGGAAAGTAAGCTTTGACTTTGCCTTTTCGGAGGATTCGGCGATTTGTTGACTTTTAGTGGCGAATGCGTTCAATTCTAGCTGTGTTATCTCCATAATTCGTGTTTCAAGATCGACGGCTAGAACTTTATCCCCTTCTTCAGGATGATACTCCGGATCATCAGCAGGGAAGGTAATCTTGTTGGTCCGCCAATCAATTGTTGGATTCGTCAGTATCAACCAGTCGTATCCAAGCAGTATGCGTGGTGAAAGTAGAGATGCTATGATGACATCTATCAAATGTTCTTTCCCTTTCACATTGATGTGAAGAGTGACATAGTGTGTTACTTTCTGGGATCGACCATCGGCTCCTGCAGCGTCAAGAGGGATGGGCAGAGGCGTAGTATTGAGGGTATACTTGTCAACCAGGCTTCGATCGATAACCGAGTTGGTGCAACCAGAGTCGATAAGGGTTGGGACGGTGAATGTCTGTCTGTCGTCTATGGTAGTGACTTGAGAAATGACGTGGAGGCTTCGTTTTGACGTAGGGTTGTGCGACGAGGTGTAAGCATGGATGCGTTCTATAATGTTCTCTTCGTCGTGGTTCTTTAGCATCTGTATCGCCTGCAGGGTGATATGCTCGTAGTGATCTTTATGGGCCCAGTTTCGTAACAGAGCTCTTGCTCTTTCTGGTTTCTGGTCTTTGATTCGTCTGGCCAACCATTCCGGTGAATGTGGCTTTGCGTAGGTTTCGGTTACAGCACGTAGATGTTGATCAACTCGTTTCATTGCAGTCGTTGGTAATATACGAGGGTTAATTACAACATTTCGGGTCAGAGAGTCCGTGCTTACTCCTGACCTTTCTGAAAATCCTTCGGGGGTGCTTCGATTTCTTTTAATGACGATGTAGTGGGAGTGTCTTTGGTTTCCTCCGTTTCCATATATCGTATTGCCATCTTTCCATGTGGGCAATTTCTAGCAATGTGGCCTCGTTCGCCACAGTTGTAACAAGTAACATTCGGGTTGGGCCGATGTTGTCTCTGCGTGTTGGAACTCCCAATCTCCATAGGTACACCTGATCCTCCAAACGTTCCTGCTGTGTTTGGATGGACTGCATTCTGGGGCGGTGGTCTATGAGATGGAGTATAATACGGTCGCTGTTGGATATATTGTGGTCTTCGCGTCTCTGTTCGCGGTACTGTCTGTCGATACTGTGGCGGAGGGTAGTCTCGGTTCTGCTGATAGCGCGGTTGATATCGTTGGTACTGAGTTGGCAGCCTCTGTTGAGGTGGTTTATCTCTCCTCCTTTCCAGATTAAGCTCTTCATTTCGCTGTTCCCATTTCCTTGCTGCTGCCTTCCACTCTAAGTACGTGGTGGGTAGGTTTTCCTGTTGCGAGATACGATCACGAAGGAATTGAGAGAGGTTGCGGCGAAGGATACTGTGAATGAACGGATAACTTTCATCTGCGTCTGGTGGTAATCCTGCTTCCATGAGTTTGGATTCGAGTCCTCCAAAATATGCGTCTACCGTCATCTCTCGCTGTTCGTAATCGTGAAGGGCAATCTCTGCTTTCAACTTGAGATGGGGGTCCAAGAATTCGTTATCTAACTCCTTGATGAATTCTGAGATAGTTCCCCAATTTCGCGGTGCAAATAGGTCTCCTAGCACTGCGGTTTTGTTGTTGAAATTCGCCTTCCATGTATGACAGGCGTCATTGGCTTTATCGGACGAGATCCGGGATAGTGCAAAGAGGATTTTGGAGGAGTTGGTTTGGAAACTTCTGGGATAGGCGAAAAAGTAGTTTGCTAAAGCGTTCTTCCAGTCAACGTATGTTTCCTTTTTACCGATGAATTCGAATGGAGGAGTGGCAAGGACAGCTTTACTTCCTTGATTTGTTTCGTCGGCCATTGCTGCTGCTAGATCAGGTTCAAGGTCCAAAGATTCCTGATCGAACCAATCGTCGGGTTGGTTTTCGGGTTCCGGAGTTGAAGGTGGGGGAGGAAAGTTTTCTGGTCCTGCTGATTGATACAGATCGTCTGGTTCTAGAGCTTCAGCAGCAGCTCCTAGAGATTGTGGGGGAGGTGTGTCGGGAGTGACCAGAGGACGGGGTTCTCGATAGGGCTCCAGATTTTCAACGGGTTAGATAACGGGTTTTTTTTTTAGATAACAAGTCTTTCTAGATAACTAGTCCTTTTTTATTTACTCGAAGTCTGGGTCAAACGTAAAATTACTAGGGAAGTCTCCTCCTTCTGCTTCTCGGGGTCTCCAGTATTCTACGCTTTGAGTAGACTCTTCACTTTCCGACTCGGTTTCGCTGCTAGATTCTCCTCCAAGTATATCTGTTAATGAACTTCCTGTTTCTCGTTCTATCCTTTCTGCGCAAGGTGCAAAAAGTTGTTCAACCGACGGGATGAGCGGTGCTTCTCCTCTCCGACCTTGGTAGGTGTAAGAGTATTGCGAATAGATACGAGTTCGTGAGCTATGGTTGATAACGGCCCAGAAATCGCTTTGGAGTACTGTAACAATGAAACGTTCGGGGTGATCAGATTGTTGGTTAACAACGAATGGAGTGAGGATTTCCAGGATCCAGTAATATTCGTCGACGTATTCTGAAACGTGTCGAATGTTGTCGATTTCGGTCGTGTAGTCTTCTCCGTCACGGGATTTTCTCTGAGCAGTTGCGATGAGCTGATCAAATCGTGCTAACGCAGCAACAACTCGTCGAATATGATCTTTAGTAGAGGGCGTGACAATGATAATGGAAGTGCTGTGTTGAAGACCAAACCGCGGCCCGAATGCGTCAAGATCGTGGACTTCAGGGAGGTAGAGAGTTCGGCGAAGTCGTGTCAGATATTGGACAATAGAAAGGTGGTCTAGATGATTGCCGATGCAGAAGTACTGGATGGGTTGGTAACTGACAGGAGAGGCGGAGTAGGTGTCGTAGTAGTCAGATGTAAAAAATGAGGACGGGATATCGTAGGTAGGTTCCTCGTTAGGCCTCTTCCTTAACACAATGCCACAAAGCAAGGTGTGTTCGAAATCGTAAGGGAGGAGGCGGCTGGGTATGTCTGGAAAAATGAGAGGGCGGATTCGATAAAGATCGAGAAGATCTGGGACGTGGCTCTGCGAAATAAGTTGCAGGTTTCGTTCTTGTACGTTGGCTATTCCTTTCAAAAGCTTAACCCTCTGAGTGTTCTCGTAACTCGGGCGTACTAGGCTTTCGAAGTAATCTATCAACGGAATTTGTTCGTGCCGCAGGGATATGAAGATTAAAAGTTCTCTCCGTGCTCTGTCGGAGATGTTGGAGTATCTCCTCGAGACTGCGAGAATTTCTCCTACAGATGGCGGAATGGTAAAAAATGGATTGGGTGAGAGCGAGTGCATCGTTTATGTCGAGGATGATATCCTCGATCGGATCAATTGGTGAAGACGAAGCAGAGGAGTCTTGATACAACTCAGTGATCTGTTCGACCGTTCCTTCCACGTCTGGAGTATGGGCTTCGGTAGGGACGGGGAGGACCGGGAGCTGTTTGTTGAGAGTTGCGAGGAAATCTCTCTGGTGTCTGCGGTCCGCTTCTGATACCCACTCTTCTGAGAGCCGTTGGGAGGTAGACACAATGGAGGTAGACGACGTTGCTGACGAGTCCGGTTTGTAGGTACCTGATGATGGCAAAGAACGCAAAGAATTGGACGAGAGCGGTGATGGTAGAGAAGGCGTCCAGTTTGGGAAGACTGAACGACAATAGGTGTAATGGGGTGGATAGTGAGAGGTCGATGACGATAGTGAGGAGAGGGATAGGGATGGTAGAGAGGTGGAGAAGGTGATGATGAAGGTTTAGACCGGTGCAGTGGCAACGACAGTCTTTTTCAGGGTGTAAGGAAACGGTTTTCCAAAGAGGGGCTCTGGAAAAGGATTCGAGGTAGGTGAGTTCAATATTTTGTCAGGCAACAAATACGAAGCTATATAACAAAGCCCAATGTCTGGTCAAGTCCTTCCTTGAAGGCGGTGAATCAGAGTATGAGAATGAAGAGTATCGGTAAGAGCGCAAATCCAAACTAATATTGAACTGGAGAACAATACATCAAGTATGTACTTCTCTATATAGTGAACGACGATGGTCAGACCGAGAAAGGGAAGTACTGAGAAAGTGGTCTGACCAGCTAGCTAACCAATAAGAAAAAAGAAGAAAGTGGTCCGATCTATCGTCTTTACTAATCGTAGGAGAAAGTGTATTGGTAAGGGATGTACGATTGGTTGTATCAGTAAGCCCATGAGAAGGCGCTGACTCACAACCTTCTTCGCTTATCAATATTCCTCCGAAATATCCCCAGACATAGCACTGGATCGTGACTATGTCATCTGGATATCTTCTCGAGGGTCGACAACGAGTCTACCTCGTTGTAGGTACGATAGAACGTGAGTGTGAAGAGAGAATAAGAAGAAAAATGATAAAAGTAATAAGACACCTGCTGTAATCTCGAGTCCAAGGGCAAGAGGGGTGACGGGGATTGAGTCTGCTAACCACAACATGACGGGAATGCGATAAGAAAAATCGATTCCTCACAGCCTGACTGACAATAAAGGAACCGTGTTGATACTGATATTGTTTTGCCTTGCCCTTTTTTTACTGCATCTTCCTATGACATCATGATTTTCTTGCTCTCTTTCTGCTATTGGACTTTATTTTATGGCTGTACAAACCTGTGACATTACTTACACAGCATTCATTGTTCTAATATCTTTCTTTTCTGTATTTTAACGATCTTATCCTGTATTACCTATGCAGAATTTGTCAGTGTACATTCCTTCCTTCATGTTCTTTCTCATTCTTTTTGCACAGCTATACTGTGCATAGCCTACCTTTCTTTTACTATATAAACCCCTGTATTTTACCTTGTAAGAACAAGAACTCCAACCCAGACATCTTCCCTAATCTTAAGTTCACTACTCTGCTACTTGTGATCCAGTGTGGTCACAATACTTCCACTGCTACCACTGTCAACTGCTGTCATCATCACTCGTCACTTTTGAAAGTCATTGTCATCCCTTTCAATTAGAGTCCTTCTGAGCACTACAGTTTGTGCGTCAGGAGCCTGCTATCACTGGGAACGTTGTCACCTTGTCATCTTGTCATTCTGGCACCTAGCTTGTGCTATAATCAGCAAGGTAGTGCTCGTCTATACTCGTCATAAAGCCCCTATCTTCTATAGTTCAACTATCTCTCCTCCTCAAAACCCACATCCATACATCTCTGGGTTTTACTTTGAAGGATCATCGTACATACCACCCCACGAGCAACCAGAGCACCCACTGTTCTAGGAGGCAAAGCCCATAAACAAGTTCCATGGAATCTGGGAGGTGTGAGGCAACGTTCAACTATAACAAAAACAGTACCCGTCTCTGACTGCACTTGCAGGGAGTAAGAGGTACAATGAGCTTGAGGTCGACAGATGCTAGCAAATATAGCAAGTAGAGGACTTGGGAGTAAACTCAAGGGTTTCTGGTGAGGAGTAAAGTGGGTAATTCAAGTAATAGAAAGCTAAAGAACTATACATGAATGTGTAGGGTTTTTATAGCTAACCGCCTATCCCTCAGAACGAAAGAGGAATAAAAGAAAAGTGGTCTGAGGAAGAACATCAGGAAAAACCCTTTTGCTATATAGCGCTATATAGCCACCACCTATATATATAAACACATTCATAGAAACTATAGTACTATCAGTGCAATCATAGCTCTTATAGCTCTTATAGCACAGTAGTAGGCAAAATTTTGACAAAGGGGAGAAGTATCTATAATTCCCTCAAACTCTGGATTAATCTAATAAACTTGTTCAATAATAGAAAGAGGCCAAAAGTGTTTGGAGTCAAGTATATTATTACAGGCAAGATACTATAAGTGCTCTTATAGCCTATAGCAGCCTACATAGCTCCTATAGCTGTAAAGGTCATAGTTATAATATAGTTCAAGGTGCTTAAAAGGGCTAATAAATCATCCAGTATTAATTAATTATGTAGCCTGTATTAGTGAAATAGTAGTTTGTATCCCTGATACTCACAAAATGAGAATAATGATTTATCCAAATATAAGTAGTGACAATGGGTAAAAAAATAATCTAAGTCCATAAAAGGTCAATATATAACACCTGTATAATATATTTTATAAGCTCTCATGGTGTAGTGGATAAATGTGATGTGTGGCTGTAGGTTGCTTAGTCACCCAAGAGCTGACTAGTAGGTTGAGAGTTCAAATCCTGTCTGTTAATTTTTTTCAATCAGCCACACAACAATTTCCAACATCTATAAGAGCATTTATAGAGCTATATGAGGCTCTATAGATGGCAGAGGTTCTATAACAGGTTTGACCACTATAACAGCTTTATGAGTATTTATAGTGCTATAGAGCTCTATATAGCTACCCCCATTTTTCCTGATGGAACAAAGTCCCATTGTCAAAAGCCGCAAACTCCCCTCCATCCGAATCCAGCCCCTGATTGTCCCTGGCAGAACAACAGATCTTATTGGAGCATTGCCTAAGTCAAATGGATACAATGCAATCCAAATTTTTGTTGACAGATTCTCAAAAATGGCTCACTTCGTACCCACGCATGTCACACTCAACTCACTGGGGTATGCCAAACAACTACATGATTTGGTCATACGACTACATGGTATCCCAGAAAAAATCATATCGGACAGAGGACCTCAGTTCATGTCGAACTTCACCAAGGATTTCTATCAGTCCCTCGGGATTGAACCCAGTCTATTGACAGATTACCACCCCCAAACCAATGGGCAATCCGAACGGATAAACCAGGACCTAGAGCATTACCTGTGTACATTCATCAATCACCGGCAGGATGACTGGGCCGATTGGCTAGCAATTGCCGAAGTCACGTACAATAACCACCTCCACTCCGCAACCAATCAAACCCCCTTCTTTGTAAACTATGGTTCTCACCCTCACAAGGAAACCGGTCAAAAGCCTTCTGGACACTTGCAAGCTGCTGAAGACTTCACAACTTCTATGACGAAATTACATGAGCAAACATGGCAATCATTATTGCTCGCTAATCAAAATCTCAAGAAGTACTATGACCAAAAATGCACAGAAGCACGGGAATATCAAAAAGGAGATAAGGTGTGGTTAGAAGGTACTCATATCTCCACTGATCGGCCGATGAAGAAATTGGATGGTCAGTGATTCAGCCCGTTTACTGTGAAAGTGATAGTTGGCCCGTCCGCCTATCTCCTCAATGTCCCTAGATCTGTGAGGAATCGATTTTTCTTATCGCATTCCCGTCATGTTGTGGTTAGCAGACTCAATCCCCGTCACCCCTCTTGCCCTTGGACTCGAGATTACAGCAGGTGTCTTATTACTTTTATCATTTTTCTTCTTATTCTCTCTTCACACTCACGTTCTATCGTACCTACAACGAGGTAGACTCGTTGTCGACCCTCGAGAAGATATCCAGATGACATAGTCACGATCCAGTGCTATGTCTGGGGATATTTCGGAGGAATATTGATAAGCGAAGAAGGTTGTGAGTCAGCGCCTTCTCATGGGCTTACTGATACAACCAATCGTACATCCCTTACCAATACACTTTCTCCTACGATTAGTAAAGACGATAGATCGGACCACTTTCTTCTTTTTTCTTATTGGTTAGCTAGCTGGTCAGACCACTTTCTCAGTACTTCCCTTTCTCGGTCTGACCATCGTCGTTCACTATATAGAGAAGTACATACTTGATGTATTGTTCTCCAGTTCAATATTAGTTTGGATTTGCGCTCTTACCGATACTCTTCATTCTCATACTCTGATTCACCGCCTTCAAGGAAGGACTTGACCAGACATTGGGCTTTGTTATATAGCTTCGTATTTGTTGCCTGACAAGATCCTGGAAGGCAATCCATCCCGTATTCAATGAAATACTATTGTCACCGTATCACACGCCGGAATTCCCCAATCAACCCAGCACTTCGGAACCTCCGCTGATCCAAGTAGATGGCGCGGTTGAATACAAAGCTGAAGAAATCATCGCTTCCCAACCCACCAAACTAAAAGGGGCCAAGCTTGACTATTTTGTTTATTGGAAAGGATACTCATTCACGGAAAGGACGTGGGAACCCGATCATCACTTGAAGAATTCTCCTTCACTCATTTCTGCCTTCCATCACAAACATCCTGCCGCTCCAAGCATAATTGCCGCCGCTGCATTACAATTTTGCCCTTACAAAAATTTCACCACTACTACCGAGAAGCCCTGCCTCTTCGACTGGGTCACCAACCGCTTTACGGACTGTGGCGTTAAAATTCTTGGGACAAGAATATAAAAGGGGGGGGGGTAATGTAAGGACCATTTATATTTTCTTATTTTCTTATCTTTTTGTTCCATGTCTTGGCTCTCAAATGCTTTCCCTGTTACACCTCTGGCTCTAGGGCTAGAGGTATCCTTTGTTATTTTGCTTCTCATAGCCCTCACAGGCTTTCTCAACCATTGTTACCACTTTATATCGCAGATCAGAGACTGGGTAGTACTCCCAGCCAGCCAGCACTATAGGTAAGGACTGGTGGTAAAGATCTCGCCAACCAGCTCCAAGCCCCATCAGTGCCTGGAGATATTAATAGACACTTTAGTCAGGATTGTACCTCATCATGAGTGTAACAACCAAGAGTTTGTTACTCTGGCGCACAACTCAGACAAGCTATAGAGAGGATGATGAGGGAGTGGTTACCCTTAAGGCTTCAACAAGTTAGTTGTGAGGATACAACAGGAGGACTCGCTGAGGAGTCTCCTGGATCTATTGAGGTATATATACTACTACAGGTTGTTTGTACATGTTGTACTATACAGTTGATAAAGCAGTGGCTGATGATGTCAGAGGGCACAGCCCATGTGACTAGCTCCACTGTGTGAGAGACTTGTAGCTAAAATAAGAATAAAGGCAGTGTAGCGCAAGAAGGTGGAGTTTGAACAAAATGGAAAGTGCTGCATGGCACAATGTGTGAAAACTACAGTATAAAGTTAAAGAGGAGAATTAAATTTGAAGGTCCGAAAATTGTGTATCGTAACAATGAGGATATGGTTCCTGAATATGCGTGACAATACTTATTATTAGTACATTCTCTCACCTGCTGATTAATCCTTAAAGTCATACAATAGTTATTCTTTTTCTTATTGGTTGGTTTCAATATGCCAGAGACTCTCTGGCATATTTCACATCCTGCAACATACTTCCTGATATCTCTTCTGAGACTAGGCCACTAGAAGGATCGGTTCACTCCTTTGTACGTCTTTTTCTCACCTGGATGTCCACTAAGGCTGGTGTCATGTTCTTCTTCAATAATACGTGGAGAAGCAGAGTAGATGTCATAGTAGTTGTTGGTAAAAAGCGAGGAAGGGATATTGTAGGTGGGTTTTTCGTTGGGCTTCTTCCTTAGAACAATACCGCAAGGTAAGGTATGTTCAAAATTGTAAGGGAGAAGTCAACTGGGTATGCTTGGGAAGGAGAGAGGGTAGATACAATAAAGTTTAAGGAGGGAGGGAATATAGTCCTGTGAGATAAGGCACAAGTTTCTTTCCTGTACATTAGCTGCTCCTTTCAAAAGCTTAACCCTCTGAGTGTTCTCGTAACTTGGGCATACTAGGCTTTCAAAGTAGTTGCTCAATAGAATTTGTCCGTGCTGCAGGAATATGAAGATTAAAAGTTCTCTCTGTGCCTTGTCTAAGACATTGTAGTACCTCCTCAAGGCTCCTAGAATTTCTCCTACAGATGGCAGAATGGTAAAAGATAGACTGGGTGAGGGCGAGAGCGTTGTTTATATCAAGGATGATTTCCTCAATTGAATTGATTGGAGAAGATGAAGCAGACAAGTCCTGATATAACTCAGTGATCTGTTCTACCGATCCTTCCATGTCTGGGGTACGGACTTCGGTAGGGACGGGGAGGACGGGGAGTGGCTTGTTGAGGGCTGCGAGGAATTTTCTTTGGTCTCTGCGGTCCACTTCTGACACCCACTCTTCTGAGTGCTGTTGGGATGTAGACACGGTGAAGGTAAACAATGTCGCTGACAAGCTCAGTCTGAAGATATTGGATGATGGCAAAGAATGCAAGGAATTGGACGAGAGTGGTGATGGTAGATGAGATGTCCAGTTTGAGAGGACTGAACGATGATAGGTGTGGTGGTATGGATAGTAAGAGGTCAATGGTGATGGTGAGAAGGTGCTGATTCATAGCCTACCTCGCTTATCAATATTCCTCCGGATGTCAGGCAACGAATACGAAGCTATATAACAAAGTACAATGCCTGGTCAAGTCCTTGCTGGAAGGCGGTGAATCAGGGTATGAGCTTTAAAGAGTATTGGTATGGGCGCAAATTTAAACTAATATTGAACTAGAGAATAATACATCGAGTATGTACTTCTTTATATAGTGAACGGCGATGGTCAGACCGAGAAAGGGAAGAACTAAGAAAGTGGTCTGACCAGCTAGCTAACCAATAAGAAAAGAAGGAGAAGGTGGTCCGATCTATCATATTTACTAATTGTATGAGAAAATGTATTGGTAAGGGATGTGCGATTGGCTGTATCAGTAAGCCCATGAGAAGGCGCTGACTCACAACCTTCTTCGCTTATCAATATTCCTCCGAAGTATTCCCAGACATAGCACTGGATTGTTGCTATGTCATCTGGATATCTTCTCAAGGGTCTACAACAAGTCTCCTTTGTTGTAAGTATGATAGGACGTGAGTGTGAATCGAGAATAAGAAGAAAAAGGATAAAAGTAATAAGACACCTGCTGTGATCTCTAGTCCAAGGGCAAGAGGAGTGACAGGGATCAAGTCTGTTAACCACGACATGACGGGAATGCAATAAGAAAAATCGATTCCTCACACCAGAGTATTCCCAGACATAGCATTAGATCATTGCTATGTTATCTGGATGTCTTCTCGAGGGTCTACAACAGTTCTCCTTTGTTGTAAGTACAATAGGACATGAGTATGAATGGAAAATAAGAAGAAAAAGGATAAGAGTAATAGAATGCTGACTGTAATCTCTAGTCCAAGAGCAAGAGGAGTGACAGGGAATGAGTTGGATAACCACAACATGATGGGAATGCGATGAGAAAAATCGATTCCTCACAATAGAATCGTTCAAACACAACATAGCAAAATACTTTGAGGTATCTGACCTTGGACACATCAAGTGGCTTCTAGGATTCACTATAGAATATAATCAAAAGTCACGCACCATAGCAATATCCCAGAAAGTGTACATTGACACAATGATTGAACACTTTGGACTGAAGGACGCAAAACCAGCACTTACCCCATTAGAACCTGGCATATCCCTCAGCACCGAACAATCACCATCTACACCAAGGCAATTTGAAGAAATGTGTGACACACCCTATCAAGAGGCTATTGGATGCCTCACATGGATCGCACTAGGGTCTCAACCAGACGTGGCTTTTGCCACGAATCTACTGGCTCAGGCCAGAGCTGTTTCAAAACCAGTGGTTACAGCCTGGAGTTCTGCAATGCAGCACTCCATCTGTGTGGTATTGACAGCAATATCAGTCAGCTGATGGAAACAAACCAATTGTCTCCTACACAGACGCTGACCACGCATCCCAGGATCACCAACACTCTATTTCAGGCCATGTATCATTCTTCTTGGGCCTACCAATTGTATGGGGAGCCAAGAAATGATTGATAATTGCATTATTGAGTACAGAGCCTGAGTATATAGCGGCGACGCATGCACTCAAGGATGTCTTTTGGCTCCAAAGCCTTATCGGTGAAATCAGATCCCCCATAGACAAACCCACAATACTCTACTGCGACAACCAAGGAGCGATTGCCTTGTCCAAAAACAACAAATATCATCCCCACACAAAACACATAGACATACACTATCATTTCATCTGAGAAGCAGTTGGTGATGACAAAGTCACACTACTATTCTGTCCTACGAACAACGTGATAGCAGACATATTCACTAAGTCTCTATCAAAAGTTAAACATGATAAAATCACTCATATGATTGGTCTATGCTAGGATTGAAGGGGAGTGTTAGAATATGCAATCCATACTATAGACTTAGAGTATTTCCGCTTTGTTGCTTACTAATTGCATAGCCACAACACAGTATGTCTCGTTGCATCACAGTTGTTTTCCTCAGTTCTACTGAGGCAACCAACTGTGAGTATATCCACATCATCACTATAGAAGTACTTTACTGACAATTGTGTATAGTATTAACTCTACTATAGGTACATAATACACAGTTCTACTGAGGCAACCAACTTATTAACTCTACTATAGCGCTTGCCAGCTCACAAAACATGATGAAATGAGATAAGATGAACAACTAGAAATATGCTAGTTAGCGACTACATATAACCGAGTCCCCGGTATCGAACCTCGTCTATTAAGCTGTTCAAAACAAACTCTTGAGCGCCACATTGAGCAGGCAACTTTCACACAATAAATACTGTCCCACGAGCATAAGTTCTAGATTTTGTATTCTGGAAACCTTTGCTAAAGCGGACTATTGCCAGTGGTTGCGCTTGCCTCAGGTGACGATCAGGAGGAGACAATGTTCAGTGTACGGAAACTTTTGTGAGCCGCAATACGACCAATGCAATATATGACAAGACTTATCCAAATCAGGAATACTCGAAGTCCATAAGCTAGTCCAGGGAGAATTTCGGTAAGTGCATGCGTTTGCAATGTGTTGACTGTCAACGTGCACTTTGGCGTTTGCTTCGTGCGTTGACTGTTGTCTTATTTACTGGTCCCGGTAAGGCGTTCGACGTTGCATCATGTTATCGCCGTTCGAAAAGTGCCAGGCTCGGGCACTCAATTTGAACAACGCCAAGGCAAAGGACAGTAAAGTTAGTTCCAGGGTGCAAGATGTTTTGGCTTCCAACAAACCAGCTGGAGCTAATCCTGTGGCAGCGCTCGCTAAAGATGAACTCTGGTGGTGTGATCATTTCCAGTGGCTAGGGGAGCTTGGATACCTCCTTCGCCCAAGATATGCTCCTGGTTGGGTGCCGTCCTGGCAGAATACCAAAAAAAGGTGGTATCACTGCGAAGATGCACAAATACCTTGGGTAAGTTCAGTGCCTTCGTCACTATTGCTACATATTGGGACTGAGACTATTTTGCACAGTACCCACATTTATTGGACGCAACTCGAATAGCGGACGGCTCATACGTGACTTTGAAAGTTATTAACAAATCACGTCACCCTTTCGAGGCCGATATTGGACGTTATTTCTCGTCTGGACCTATAGCGAGCGATCCTGCTAATCACTGCGTCCCTATATATGAACTTTTTCAAGTACCAGGAGAAGAGGACAAAATTTTGATGGTCATGCCTTTACTGCGACAGTACGACGATCCAGCTTTCGGCAGATATTCGAGGTATCAGCTTGTTGATTAAACTATTGTATTGTCTCATACTTGGCTAGGGCCTTCAATTTATGCACAAACATCGCGTGGCCCATCGGTAAGATACCTTTGCTCCTAGTGTCATCATTCTTTCATGAGTTCTACATAGCGACTGCATGAACTTGAATATCATGATGGACGCGTCCTCGCTTTATATCGATGCCTTTCATCCTTATGATCCTGATATGAGGCGCGACTTTAAGGGTGAAGCGAGACATCGCAGTCGCACGCAGTGCCCACCAAAATATTTTTTCATCGATTTTGGTATATCTCGTCGTTATGATCCTGGCGATGAAGCACCTCTCGAAGATCCCATATGGGGCGGCGATAAGACAGTACCAGAATTTCAACGGTCGATTGAACCTCGAAATCCTTTCTATACCGATATATACTACATTGGTAATGTCATCAGGGAAGATTTTATACAGGTGAGCTCCACAATCTGCTGAGCCATTTTAAAATTAGGACTAATGGTGCATGTGCTTGACTGAAGGGAAAATCTGGATTTGAATTCATGATACCGCTAGTAGCTGACATGGTCCAAGACGACCCAGTTAAACGGCCTTCTATGGATGAAGTGGTAGCTCGCTTCAATATACTTTGCAAGGACCTCAGTACCTGGAAATTACGCTCCCGAATCATTGACAGAGAAGATGATGAAACCGGTGGTCTCTTCAGCAACATTGCTCACTGGACGCGTCGTGCCAGTTTCATAATCGGGTGCATCCCTCCTGTACCTTCTTCGTAGTGTGCATGTGGCAGCGCCACTTCTCACACATAAGTACTCATGGATTGTATATTATTAGCACTACAACCTATCTCCTGTATTTCACGATCGCTTCGAGCAATCTTGACCGATCAAGGGAGTAGTTTGAAGTACCTGAGTCTCGTGATGATAGTAAGATGACACCAATATTACCTTCGGCGTAAGTTATTGATTTTCTGGATACAGGCGTGTAGGCCAGCAAGCGTAACTGCGATGGTATAGCAGAGGCGCGTCTAGCAATTCATTTCACCGTTTTCACCCACTGTACACTCCACTTATATTGCTCTTACATCATGTATCTCGTCGTCTTTCAACACAGAGGCCAAGGGATGTTCAAATTTTCGAGTCATGTGATGTGTTTTATTTTAATTTTATTTTCTTATATCATCTCAAATCACTAGGATAAATCCCTCCTCTCTCGAAATAGAGGATGGGTACGAGACTGCGAGAAAAAGCGCTTGCGGGGCGTGTCCTATTGTCACGGTACTCGGGTGATAAAATCTGATATCAAAAGCTAGGTGCTTGACATTTAACCTTTGAAATAGAGGGCTGAACATGTTATCCCATACTGACACTATTTTATTGATATCGATGTACTATGTATAATTATTACGATTACAAAAACGGCACATGCTTCATCTCACCTGTAGCAAAAAAGTCCTCATCGAACGCTTCCTCAGCGGCCTCTTCTTCATTCTCTGGCCCTTCTTCTCCACCATCATAACCATAACCCTCTTCCACGTCGCCATTTACATCATCATCATCATCATCATCATCCAAACCAAAATGCATGTCGTCTAACGATCCTGGCATACTAGTTATGCTTCTGCTCCTTGCCCTTGTCCTCGGCTTGAATGCACCATCTTCACCATCCTCCGCGCCATCTTCAGAACCAGAATCGAGGAAGGTAGATGACGATGACCTTGATGCAGGACTGGCACTCATACCACTCTCATCTACGGGTGACGATTGTGTGAAAGCAGCGAATGTACTACTCAACCGCTCCAGAGAAGACATTTGTCTGAGATGTGAGCTCCTGTTATCTCGGTCGCGTCGCACCATTTCCGTGGTTGGTGGAGGCAACGCAAACTGCTTCATGTTGTTTGATTGCCTACTGCCGACCAGACTGAAGTTTCGTATCCTAGCAAGCGTGCTTTGATTAGATGTATCGGAACGTGCGCTAAGAGCAGGCGATGGTGGTGTCAAATCTGGCAGTGCGAACTCTTGGACGGGTATCTTCCAATAGTTGAAATCTGTGAATTCTGGAGTCCATTTGCGGTTGATTGGAGGGAACATCTGATCAACAAGGTCCGTCATATGTATATAGCTGTATATTAAGTGTCAACGCGATGAGATTTTGCGGCCAACGTTGCGTGTAACCAATACGCACGAAGACTTATAACCTGCCAGCTCCAACAGCTCCATCTTTACCTCTCCGGACGAGTCGATCGTGAATATCCGTGCGCTCGGGATGTTTACACTGCGATATGATAGTGCATCCGTTATGCGGTTACCAAAACCAGCATAGAAAGGACTACGCGAGGCATCTCCAAACAGCCGTTGGATGTCACGCAAACAGGCCATCTTGAAAACTTCGGGTTTGCGCATGATAACCTCCCTGTATTCCGGCCAAAAAATCAACGCTGGTTAATCAGCATTTGTTGAATGCGCCTACCGATGTAGCGACGCCATCAACCGATCTGGGCTCATGATAACAGGACCTTCGGGTAGCTGGTAGTCATTCTGCTTGATTCCTTTCAGATAATCTCGGGTTGAGTCTGCCTGTCCAATGGCACGAGAGGTGAGATACATGATCTTGTAGCCATTTCGGGTAATATCTGTGTACAGCTTCGCCACCCCAAGATGCGTCCAGTCACGACCTATCATCGTGAAAATGTGACCAAGACCATCCGACCTGTATAATGTAACACTTTACTTAGCACTCCAAGATAAAACCTTGCACAAAGAAATCAACCGACTTTGTGATAGTCCCATCAATATCGGACACAACGACATGGTCTGTGGAGTCCCACACAAAAATTCGTGCCGTGCATACTGGAACACCTGTCGTCGAAAGCGAGAATGTGATTGTGTTCGCACCAGATTTGAGATCGAGAGATTTCTACATCGAAAACACTAAGAAGAGAAACCAAACTTGCCCAACCGTGGCACTCACCAGCTGATCAGACGAAAGTCTTAATGTCTTCGCGTACTTCCTCCGACTCTCAACGATCTTAACTCGAAGGGCTGCCTCCAAATCAGATCCTGATGGTTGTAGTGCTTGGCCAGGTGGCGGAGTTATAGCAGGAGCTGACACAGAGGGTGCATGAGTTCGCGGTTTGGGCATTGAACTGGACTTTACAGCCTAAACATGAAAATATAAATGCATGCCCTTCCATTTAAAAAGCTGTCAAGCGTACTGCATTCAAAGGGACGGAGGTTGACCCTCGTAGCACAGGTCTACTCCTCTGAGACTTGAGTTCTTCGTCTTTGTCCCTACTTCGACTCCACCATCGTACCCAACTCGAAGAAGTTGGTTTTCGTGATAGCTCTACGGATTTGGGGCTTGCCATCTTCTGCTCTTCATCAGATGACGACGACGACGAAAATGGTTCCTCCTCATACGTTGGTGAAGGTTGCGGTGTCGGAAGAGCTGGCGGATCAGTATAGTAATCTTGAAGTGCCGCATCGCGCCATAGACAAAGCGCCTCCATCAGCGGTGAACCATCACTACGAGTGATGAATTGTCCCCCGACCCACTTGATGACTAGTTTATCGTCTCTGACGACTGTATCATCCCTCAGCAACCTACTATAATCGATCTTTCCCGAATCAAATAGCCGTGCTGCTTCAACCTCGTCACCGCCATCGAAAACTTTACTGCCCCGCTGATCAGACTCTACAATGCTTAACTCGAATTCTATGACCTTTCCCTCGATCCAGACCTGAAATTTAGTGGGATCTTCCCGAATGGCAGTTAACCTCCCTCCAGAGCCAAAGCCTCCGGGACCAGGCCCTTCGCCATCACGGTCATCTACGGTAGACAATTCAGGACGTATTGTGCGTGGACTTCCATCAACCTCAAGTGGTACGCTATGGCTCCTTATGATACTCGAGTCATCTTTAGTGGATAGCTCCTCTTCGAGGTATGACGGGAGAACAAGATCTAAGGCTGCTTTGTTCTTTCCTTTGTGATCCAGCCTGCTAGCCTTGGGGAATGCCGTTCTTAATGGAGACGGTTGAGGAAAACCACCCCATTCCCATGAATACTCTTGTACAGGTGTATGATCAGGATCTACAACTCCACGCTGTTCGTCAAAGTCTGGTGGAGGTTCAGATGTAGCACGTTGCACAGGAAAGGCTGTCTTGAGAAGGGATATGCTCTTTGGTCTGACCGAGGGTGAAAATGGTGAATGCTCAGGACTCGGGGATCCTACGCAGTAAAAACATTTGTTAAGTTCTAACTCCTAATTGAATAAACTGAATAAACGCAACTCGAAGCCTGACTGCCTTGTGGGGGAGAGCCGGTTGGAAACACGATGTGATGTGAAGGAGAGCCACGTGTGCTTTCAGATGTCACCGTTCGATCGGACGCCTCGCGACCATGGGAATGATACCCTGACATGTCTAACGCCATATCTGTAATGTATGACAGATCAGTTGCTGAAGATACTAAACGTAGACGACAGGAGTGGGTGGGCAACTTACCTGATTGATACAGAACATCGGGAGGGTGTACCTCGCTATCACTGACTCTTAATGCATTATCGACCTCACCTAACGGGTTCATTTGTGTTCCAGTACTTGATAAAAGAGACGACGTCTCAGCAGCAACTGGGGGTGGAGTGGCGGGCGGCGAAGGTAACGGTGGTTTGGATAGGGAGAGTTCATTAGTGTCCTTGGTAGTAGCGGTAGCATTGAGATCAAGAAATTCCGGTTCCTGCATGTCCTCCTTTTCTTCTGTCTTTGTAATACTGTCCTCGTGTTGCTTAGCACCGAAATTATCGATCGGCACGCTGACATCTTTAGCTTCTGGAGACCTTGTAGCTGCCAGTATTGGACTAGTAACGAGGTCATCTGGTATTTCACCCTCCGTCTCAAATACGAAAAAGGCCTCCCCAGCATCTCCGATCTTCATGTCGAACGGAATTGGATGACCATTGACGGAGACATTGACCTGCGCTGACTTCAGATGCTAGATGCTTCAGATAATAGCGCATATACGCACCTTCTTCTCCGCTGGACGCAGAACCTGTAGCTTTCCGAATCTAACATGAAATGGAGAACAGGCGAGCTCGATGTCACCGTCGTCTAAGGGCCGTTTAATGACAATCACGTCGATTGCGCCAGTCAATGTTGACGGATTGATTGGAGGAAGATCTTTATAGTATTGGTATGGTGCACTAATAGCATTGACGGCGCCTCGAATATAATTCATGTTACCAGACGTAGTAAGGTCAGAAGTAAGGAGGGAGCCAGCCAAAGCCGGATCATGTTCAGTGCAAAGATATACGGCGCGTCTCTGGTGCCACCACCACGCTTTTGGGCCGCCCCCATGTGTTTGAAGCGAACCCCATGATTAATCATGGCTCATGCCACCTGGGGCAAAATCACGCTACAACAAAAATAAAATATCACAGTTGGGCGGCTCAGGCCTAAAACCAGTGCTGGTCATCACACCTGGGGGACAAACGTTCTCACTCCTAGCAAACAACGTCCAAGGAGCAGCAAAATATGTAATAAATTCGTCTACAGTGACTACACAGGTTAATGATGCCCGACAGCGGTGTGGTCGAACAGAGGAGCAATCGTAGGCTTGTGCAATGAGTGTCAGCATCATATCGGGGGCGACAACCGGAGTAGTCAACGCTTACAGGTATGTTTCTCTCCCTAGAACAGAACATGAGTGACGACTATGGGCTACAATAAGGAAGACGTACCACTTCGTTCCACCAGGCATGGTAGGAGCTAGGAAAATTGATGCATAATTAATGCTAGAACACGACAAATGCCGCAAGTCACTCACGAATGTATGGATCAGGATGTAGTTTACTAGCAAGATCGGCTTCCGCTTTCTCAAGAATAACTGCCAGCGCTCTGGGATCGCTTACATCTCTGTAAACGATAGCATTACAATGCAGAATAAGACATGGTACCAGTAAGAAAATGCATTGTGCACTCACCGGTTGCGCTCAAACTCAGCTCTGATGAGCATGGCTCTGCCCCTCCATAAATCTCGCCTTACAACCCAGTCCAGCTCATTCTTGAGCATGCGTCTGTATAAAGACTTGACATATAGCCTGTGCGCCGACGTGAATGGCGACGTCGACATTATTGTGGTTTGCCTCTTGTCCGTTTTCTGTGCAGAGGTGTATGAGAACGGGAGATGCTTACATAATCGTGCAGGCCCCTCACGGCAGGGGCTGTGCAATTTTTCTGACCTTCAGGCCATCGGACCCGCCCCAACCAAGTCATGAGCATTATGGATCCACATTCAAGGCTTTCCCAGTTCAACCATAGAACACCAAAGTCAGGTCCAGTATCGTCAGTAAATCGCTTTATGGATCCACAGCCAAAAGTTACACTCGAGAAATTCACAAAACGTTCATCATCGAAACCATCACCTGCAAATACATCGTCCTTGTTCACACAGCGCCCAATAGCAACCAACTCACGGGTAAAACAGGACGAAAAATATAAAAAAGACCTATATCTCGCGTTTGTCAATGATGCATTGCAGCAGAAACTCAATGTAAGTACATTCTGTGAGGGGCTTTGTGCTCGTGTGATAATTGACGATCGCATCTGCAGGGTCGCAGTGAGGCTTTTGATCAGCTAGTAGACCAGTTCAACCCCAAGAATATTGCTGGTGATGGCGCTGTTCCATCCGCTCAACTTCGATTGTGGATAGTGGCTCTTTCACATGTCCTCTCTCGTCTGGAGAGGCGCCACTCAGCCCTCGTAGAAGCCATTGTCAACATGCCATGGACAACGATGGATACTGTTTTTGTAAAGTCATACACCGTTTTTATTGGAATGCTCCTGAGTGCAAGACCAGAATATCTGTCTCTCGTCCTGGGCAAAATAGCACAAGACTTGACTTATCGTGCGTAATCCAGCTTTTCTGCTGTGGCAGTTCGTTAGCATCTCAACTTGAGCCACAGAATACGGACTTCAAATTTCGGACGCAGGTCATCCTGAGAGTTCTTCCGGCCCCTTGACTCGTCGAGTCATTTACGATCGACTACACTACCTTCTGCAGCACCTTCTTTCACTCATCCCAACGTTACCGTCTACCCTACAACCCTTACTTGTACGAAATTTCCCCCACAAGCGTCAGCCACAAGTGGCTCAAGTGGCCTACATTCGTAACCTCCTTCGAGTGACAGAATATTGCCCCGAGCTTGCCGATCGCATATTAGCTACAATTATAGATCGTGCGATACAAGTAGATGTACGTATTCCATACTGCTTAATACATTTATGCAATACTAATAAAGCCAACTTTGTAGGTGGAAATACAAGTTGAGTTGGAGGAGCTTGAAGAGGAAGACCCGCAGGATCACGACGAAATATTCGAGTTAGACCCTTTTGATACTGTCGTGGGACAGGAGGGTGATGACGAGCCGGAGTCGGAAAGCGACGGTGAAGATGGATTTGATGATCTAAGTGACTTGTCTTCCGATGATGGTGATGCGGAGGAAACAGGAAACCCAGACATACATCGAGATGCTAAACATATTCACGACATGGTCAACAAGCTAGATGCCATACTCAAACTCATATTCGATCACTTCAACCGCCTGCATGCAGCCGCAGCCGCACCTGCAACTGCAACTGCAACTTCACCTTTTCCAAGTTCTCCCGCCACCCCTCGATTCACCTCACCACCGTCAGCGCTAGACATGCCGGACTTCCCCGCATCGCCTGCCCCTTTGTCGTTTGAACGAGGTCGCGCTCTCCGTCGTTCCCAGTTCCACACTCTTCTCTCTATATTCGACCGCACCATCATCCGCACATTTAAATCCCGTTATACTCAATTCCTCATCTTTTGGTACTCCTCCCTCGACCCAGAGTTCAGTGACCTTTTCCAAGGCATGTTGGTCGAAAAAGCTCTGCTCACGCAAGATCAACCGGCAGTCACGCGCGCAGCTGCTGCAAGTTACATAGCGTCGTTCGTCAGCCGAGCCCAATTTGTCGATCGCGACGGCACACGAAGGGTTATGAGCGTGCTATGTACTTTCCTCCAGAGTCATCTTGATGCTTTCGATGTGATATTACAAACAGGACAGGAGCTACCCAGTGTGGCGCACCACAGCGTGTTTTATGCCGTTACTCAAGCAGTGTTCCTTATATTTTGCTTCCGATGGAGGGATCTGCAAGAGGATGAGGGAGATGTGGACGAATCACTTGGAACGGCTAGCTCCGGCAAGAAATGGATGCCAGAGTTGAGCATCGTGCAGCGGGTGTTGACATCTCTACTTAATCCACTCAAGGTAGTTTTGCCATATTGCTTCAGGAACGTAACGAATTAACATGAAAAAACAGGTCTGTTCATCGAACGTGGTAATGCAATTTGCGCGCGTCGCACAGGCCACCGATTTCGCCTACTGCTACTCGATTCTCGAGGTCAATAAGCGTTCCGATTATAACCCCACTCCAGGACAGAGGTCCAGGGCTACAATAGATGGCGAGTCGTTAAACGCGGAACTCAATACGTTTTTCCCATTCGACCCGTATAGACTACCTAAATCCAGCCCTTACATACAGGGCGTATATAGAGAATGGTCTTCCGTAGCCATTGATGAAGACGACGACGAAGATGATGATGATGATGATGATGGTGATGAAGAAGAAGAGGACATCTATGACATATACTCTGACAGTCTCAAAAGTGCAGAAGACAACAATCATGGGCTAACGAGATCTGGTCATCTCGCTATTCCAAAGCCGGAACCACTCCAAAATCTTTCTGACGCAGATGGCCTTGGAGAGTCTTTTGGGGGCATGAGCATCAGTCCAGCACAACCCAAAATTCCCGTACTGCTTGTCTCGTAGCATTCGTGTCGCATGTACATACTACCTCTACACTACAGTGTATGTGTATCATGTTTTCGTATGTATGATGCGTCCGTGAACGGGTCTTTTATAACCATACACCCTCATGATGAGAAGAAAGTCGTCTTGTAAAATATCTAACCAGAGTATTATATCAACTTCAATTGTAAGTAATGAAGGTACGATAGCAGGTACGACGCAATAATGAAGATACATCACCCTAAGCTGAAGATGGCTGAGAGTGGTTTGTTTGCAAGCGCGATCGTAGGGGTTGCCATTGATGTCTGCTCCTGAACATTCTCGTGCTTTCCAAACCGGGATCGGGATTAGCTAGGAACGCATGCAGCATGAATGTGTATTCAGAAAGATCGCCAAACTGGATGATCCGAAGTGTATTCTTTCCGACGGAAGTATGTATAGTCACATCCAAGGGTTTAGTGTCGTCCTGTAATTGCCTCCGTATTAAAGGTAAAATATCTCCAGCGGAGTTTAACCTACCAAATCTCGAGGTAACCAGCTACGCCCCTCGGTACGCCCAGGATTCATATGTATGGCCAGCTTTCCACCTGCAGGCCAACCCATGGGAGCTCGTTCTACTTTATTTACCATCACCTCGTTCGAGGTTGCGTGGTCAACGTGTCGAGCGAGCTCAGAAATGGATTCTCTGGGAAGGCAAAGAAGGTGCAGCGTGAATTTCAATGGGCTTTGGTTACTAGAATTATTGTTTATCAAGAAATAAATGGAAAGAACTTGAATTTAGACTGACGCTTCGTCATTTTTTAGCTCGTACGGAGTTGGCAAGTCTGGGGTGACTTCAAAATCGATATCAAGGAGGCCTGTTGACTCGAGTCCTACTTTCATGCACCATAAGCCAGGTACACCCCAATCAGATGATTGGGTGGACTGGTTAGATAATGCTATGAGAGGATGATACGGGTGCGTATGTGATGGGGGTATAGCGGACGATGACGATGGGAGCGACAAATGGCTCGCGCCATCAGTTGCATTCTCTTCAGAAAGCATATTCACGTCTTCAGCCTTCTCTGGAGGAACGGAGTGCGCGGAAGACGGTAGTTCGGTTTGCTGACGGAAATTCGCGTGCGGTGAGTCAAGGAGCTCATCCGAATTTTGATTGGGAGAAGACGCAACTGCGTCAACTGCAGATGCCCCAATACCGTCCCTCAGCGATGGCCCGGGTAGCATTGACTTATCTTCCGTCGTCGAAGAGGCATCTATGTCCATAGTCGCGTCCGGTCCACCAGCATTAGACGTGTTGTTCCGGACATGTTGTGGGGCGTTCTGTGTGACTGAAGTCATATCTTCCATCTCAGAGTCGAGCATCTTTGATTTTGGTGTTGGTGGTTGAGTAGAAAATTCCACCAAAGTGGTTTCACTGTCTTTCCTCGGTACCTCCGATGCCACAACGGAGTCTACACACTCGTCCACACGCCTTCGACCATTACGACTCCAAGTCAGCTCGTCCTCTCTGTCTCGCTTTGTTCCCGTATCGTTCAGCTCGGAAGCTTTGCGTGCTTCGAGAGCCTGCATTTGTTGTCTGATTTCCTTCGACTGCTGCATGAATTTTTTGCAATGCTCGTCCGTAATCAAGGCTGCAAGGTGCTTGTCACAGTCGATATGTTTACTGGGGTCTTTCATCCTAGCAGACATCATGACGATTGGAAGAAGACGATTTCTGCATTGTTCGTATACAGATGTGGGTGGTGAACTGGGCGATTCTGGTGGGCACGGTTCCCTCGTTGCAGTTGGCGAGTCGGTGTCTATTGTGACATCCGCATGGGCTGAACACGTTTCTGAAGCCATGACTGCATCCTCGTCCATGCCAAACGTCAGGATATCATTCACTATTGTCTCCGATGTCGAAGATGTTGGGCTGCTTGGCATCGACACCTTTGATGTGATATGCATGCTTGGCCATGGGTCATATTGCTTTGGTTTCACACGATGGATGAAACCATATCCATATCCATGTTCTAACCAAAAGACTCACCAAATACAATGTTCCCCTAGCCATTCCGTCACCATTCTCCATATTCATACCTGGGACCCGTACTTTTTCTGAGGTAACTCAGTCTTATATCTCGGGAGGATGGGTTTTGGTTAGATGTGGTATTCAAGCATTTCATGATGGTTTCAGCATACTTGCGGAGAACCGATATCGATCATAATGATATCTCTGTCTAAGGTGGGTATCCGCGTATTTTTATCTTCCTCCCGAGCATCCCAATAACGCCTCAATGATGGAAAACTACTGATAGACTACTGAAAATTTGACTAGAGCACTTGGTAGACGCTCAGTGCTCGTCTTTGGCGCGCCAGGTCAGTCCTTGCTTGAACGACGTCGGGATCCATCATGTCCATGATTTAGACGTGTTCAAGGAAGGCAGAAACATTTACTTTCTCTGGAACAGCGAAAATTTAGAGCACTTTCTCGGAGCGCAGTACAGGTTTATGCTTTGTTCTGAGTAAACACAGTTTCTGGGGACTTGACAATTCGATAGGGGGATGCAATTGTCCCCTACCATTGCATCACAGTAGTAGCTCGCAATACTGTCCCAAATTTGACAAATTTGTTTTAAACAAGACAATGGTGCATATTTGTGCAGACGAAAATGCCAGTGACTGATACAGTATATTACACGATTACAACATTTACATACATCCTTCAAATCGGCGTGCTGTCATTACCGCTTTTCAAAAATCCACTCAGCTGAGACCTCAATAGAGTTTGCTAAAGTCACCTATAGTCGGAAAGTTGTTAGGCAAATGACGGCAGCATAATTACACTGGTGGCTCACATGGGTTCCTTCTTGGTCGTCGGCAATGTTCCATCCTAGAGGAGAATTGGCTGGGTCCAAGTAAATACTGCGAAAAACGAGGACATTTCGTCAGATGATGAATGGCACCACAAAGTTGGAAAAAGTTTCACTAAAATCGGTTACTATCAGTACTGGTCTTCTTGAGGGTCCACTGGAAGGAATCAGGTTTGGAAAGGACGTCGTGACCAATGTCTGCTGCGGAAACATCTTCAACCTGGGTATAGTGGCTGCAGGCGGAGCTCTGAATAGTATATTTGTTACTATTTTTGAGCCTTTTAAGGTTCCACTGCCCGACGTCAGTCAGTAAATACGCGCGATTGGATGAAAAAATGCCTTGAAATACCTTAGCATGATCGCTACTACTATCACTTGCCTGAACGATGGGAGAACCGGGGTCGGTGTCCCTAAGGGCGGCATACTTGCCTGTCAGGACAAATTTCATACCGTATTGGCCGCTACCAGGGGGCATGGTCTCCCCGCCATTGTTGACCGGGGTTGCTGACATCGAGGGAATATGTTAAAGATGTAATGTTAGAAGAGGGTCCTTATATGCGTTCACAGCAGAGCCGAATCCGTGAAAGTCTTTGTTCTCGTGATGAACATACCATAGATGGGGCAACACATGCTACCCACGTGAAGTTGGGACAATAGCATAGAAAGTTATGACATACAGTTGGTTTGACGAACTGCCATCAAATGACACTGATAATCTCAACACGGAGAGATGAAGTAGAGCATCCCGAGTGAATGATTATCCCGATCAGAAAGCAAAAAAATCTTTCCTGGCTGTGAAAACAGCGACATTGTCCTCTTGGACTAATTGCGCGGTATTCGGAGCTCCGAGTGCATCCACGGTGATATGTGGAGCATTCGTGAAATAACAAATGATGCAAATCCAGATCATGGATTTTCATTAACGCCCATAGACGGAGACCTGTATGAAAGAGGTAGAAACCTCCTGAGTAGAACACTTTTTCCGGGAAGAAAGGACGAACTGAGCCTGATTAGAACGTGTGTCGGAAAAATCCATTTTAGCAGATCAGACACTGTGAGTATCTGAGATAATCCTGTGTTGTCTGTCAATCTGTTGCGTTCATGATCAGACGCTGATCGAGCGCTAATCAGGTATGAGAGATGAAACGATCAGGCCAATCAGCGAAAGTGGCAAAATCGGGACCGCAGATTACCTCTCACCAGGCATTGTCACGACATTGGAAAATACGAGCGGGCCATACCAGATTCCTTCAGACACTTAGCGGACTCAGAGTCATTAGTTGATAGACAAAATGTAAAAGTATTAATATCAATTCCCAAAACGTAAAAACATGTCGCCGTCAATTAAATCGTTTAAATAAAAGCTCCCCTCCTTGAGATCAAACGCATTAGCGTCGTTCGAAGTAAACGCTGAAATATTTTCAGGAGCCTGAAAAAAAGAAAAGTGGATATTTGTAAGCGTCTGAAGCTGAAATAATTACCAGAAAGGGTCGGGTATAGATGAATTCTCGATCAGATATACAAAGTCAGACTACAAAGGTTGTATATATAAAAAGTCAGATCAGATTGAGCCTCCCCCCCACAAATCCATCGTAATTATGAGTCGACACCGTCCTACAATCCGCGATCAGCATCTCAATGCTCTCGACAGTTTATTCATCAACTCACAAACAACGCTACTTAACAGCTTGCTAGCTTCCCTGAAACAACCGGCCCAGTTGTCTATCGGCCTTTCAACGTCATCATCAAGTGATTCCGACTCCAGTGACTCGGTTAGCTCCAATGTGGGATCAGAGTTGGGGTTGGGGCTCGATTTGGATAGCTTATCGCTTAGCGGCGGGTCTGACGGCATAGGCGAGTCGGATCGAGAATCTGATCGAGAGTCGGAGGGTGGTGAGGACAACGATGCCGAGGATATGGGGTATCAATCACATCCAATCACTCAGCTCACACTTATGCAGGTCACATCCGTAGTATACATGATGCTACACAAAACGGTGGAAGAGACCAGGGTTTTTTTTCCCAAAGCACCTGCATTTCGGCAGCCCCAACTTGGCTTGCTTGAGTGGGCTCGCCATAACGACACCCGCCATTTCTCGCGTAAGCTCCGCGTGCTTCCGGCAACTTTTGATGCAATCGTGACCCTGATCGAGAACCACCCAATATTTCATAACGAGTCCAACAACCCCCAGTATGCTGTTTCCCTCCAGCTCGCCATCTTTCTTGTTCGGGCCGGACATTACGGGAATGCTGCGTCATGCAATGATGTAGCCGAATGGGCTGGAGTATCAGCCGGCACAGTAGTGCTATCGACTAAGCGGGTGGTTGTCGCGCTCATTTCCCTGCATGACATGGTTATGTGCAAACCAACAAATGAGGAAAAAATAAAAGCTAAAGCTTATGCAGGGTCAAAGGTCTGCCCATCATGGCAAAACGGCTGGCTTTCAGTAGATGGGACAACATTCCCGCTGTTCCAAAAGCCAAGCCATTTTGGCGAGGCCTGGTACGATCGTTCATCAAATTACTCATTAAACGCTCAAGTGCGTTGTCCCGATCACAAATATTACATACAGATATTGACTAATTAATCCCAGATCGTTATCTTGCTGCACAATCTACGGATAGTTGACTACGGTCTGGGCCATACGGGCAGCGTCCACGACTCCTATGCATTTGAAAGCACTCAGATCTTTCGCGATCACACAGCATTTCTAGACGAAGGCGAGTGGCTGTGGGCAGACTCGGCATACCCCCTCCAAAAATGGTGTGTGGCGCCGTTTAAGCGTCCCACAAATGGTAACCTTACGCAAAGCGAGCGCCACTATAACTACTACCTCTTGCGTATTCGGATCCGATCGGAGCATGCAATTGGCTTACTCAAGGGCCGATTTCAATCTCTGCGAGAACTCAGGATACAAATCAGTTCACACCAGAGGCATCAGTGGGCTGTTATGTGGCTACGTTCATGTTTTATTTTGCACAACTTGGTGATTCTTATAGAAGGCGACAACAGTGCTGAAAGGTGGAATGATGATGGCGGGTTTGACAACCATGATGGGCGAGATGACAATCAGGGCGAAGCTTCCGAGGATGTACCTGACAATATAGCCGTTGCCTGTGAGTTGCCAGAAGCACCTCGTGTCGTTGATGGGGTGAATATACCCGAGGGTCAGTTACTTCGTCATCGTTTAATGCTGGGACTTTTTTCTAGTCATCTTTATGTAGACTGAACCTGTAAACATTGAATGTAATACTTTGTTCACAAATACCACAACACTATGATTGCTCAACAAACATACAAAAAATAAGATAGTACAGAGATAGCGATGATTCAGAACAAGCACGATAGTATGAATTCACTCGTACAATCCCCCATCAACTGCCATTGAGTCTTCATTGTCATCAGCGTCATCATCAGCGTCATCATCACCGCTGTAATCTTTATAATTGTCCAATGCACGAGAATTGAAAGCAGAGGTGGATACGGAAGTGGAAGAGGAAGCAACAGGGCCAGAAATCGACTGCTCAAAGAAATTGGACACCAGTGAAGAGGGAGCAGGCGAGGTAGAGTTGTTGGCGAGAAGGGAAGAGATGATGCTACTATCCACACCAGGGATATCCTTGACGGCTTGGATGAGTTTGAATTTCATTTCAAACATGTCCTTCTCGTGTTGTCGCTGTTCTCGTTCCCTTTGTACCTGACTTCTGTTAACTAACTGCAGCTTCTCCTTGAACTGTTCGTGTTCCAACACAGTGGCTTCCTTATCTTTCGACCGCCTGTCGCTGCGTGCACGTTCTGCTATGGCCGTGTACTTCACATGCCTCGCGGCTACCTTACCTCCCTTAACTTGGAGTGCCTCCTGTGCAAGGCTTTGCTGTCCTTGCATAGCCTGCGCAACAGGCTCCATCACCTTCTGCATCAAGGACACATTGTCCTCAATATGAGATCGTGGTTGCTTACGTGGCCTGTTGTCCACCTTTGCAGACTGTGGGGTCCCAGCGTCCTTTGTACTGACCCTTCTGTCTGTGGTGATAAGACGCTCTGTGCTCACTTCGTTGCCTGACGATGTTGCTAACTGGGCCCGGAGTGTCTCTCTGACGGTCACAGCAGATGGCCGTTTTCCCGATTTGACAATCTTTGCGGGCGCAGTTGCAGTAAGCTTAGATGGGACAGGGGGAGGAGGTGAGGCCAAGCGAGAAACGGGAGAAGACGGGGGAAGGTTCGCAAAGAAGCCAGGGTTAGGTGAGAGAGGAATGAGGTTCGCGCTGGGATTTGCACTGAAGCCAGACTGGCCAGAGGACGGAGAGCCTGGAGGTACGCTTGCGTAGAAGCTGGAGTGGCCCGAGGCGGGAGAAGCGGGAGCCTGGTTCATAAAGAAACCAGAGTGTCCAGACACGGATCCAGAGACAGGAGAACTTGGAAGCTGGAAGGGTATATCTTGAAATGGTACATCACGCACTTGTAGATGTCCGACTTCTATACCTTGGAGACCTCGAGGCTGCATATCGTCAAATGAAGAATCGAAAGAGTGGGAGGAATGGTTTGTCTGGAAAAGTGAAGAAAGGGATTGATGGTATGCTCCTGGGAAAAGGCTGGCGGCGTTTGAGTCAAAAAAACTAGGATCAGTTGCGATAGACGGTAGCGAAGGTAGTGATGAATTGTTTGGCAAGGAAGAAGCTGAAGATACCATGCCAGAATTGGCGAGAGAACTACTGTGATGGTTGATATGCGGAGGGATTTGACTGAACTGAGCGAATTGATTGAACGGTTGGTGGACAAAGTTGTCATTCTGGAAATGCTGATAATCCTCATACCCATGGCTCTGGGGGAGAGGTTGTTGAGGTAGCTGATTGTGTCAGGCAACAAATACGAAGCTATATAACAAAGCCCAATGTCTGGTCAAGTCCTTCCTTGAAGGCGGTGAATCAGAGTATGAGAATGAAGAGTATCGGTAAGAGCGCAAATCCAAACTAATATTGAACTGGAGAACAATACATCAAGTATGTACTTCTCTATATAGTGAACGACGATGGTCAGACCGAGAAAGGGAAGTACTGAGAAAGTGGTCTGACCAGCTAGCTAACCAATAAGAATAAAAGGAAGAAAGTGGTCCGATCTATCGTTTTTACTAATCGTATGAGAAAGCGTATTGGTAAGGGATGTACGATTGGCTGTATCAGTAAGCCCATGAGAAGGCGCTGACTCACAACCTTCTTCGCTTATCAATATTCCTCCGAAGTATTCCCAGACATAGCACTGGATCGTGACTATGTCATCTGGATATCCTCTCGAGGGTCGACAACAAGTCTACCTCGTTGTAGGTACGATAGAACGTGAGTGTGAAGAGAGAATAAGAAGAAGAATGATAAAAGTAATAAGACACCTGCTGTAATCTCTAGTCCAAGGGCAAGAGGAGTGACGGGGATTGAGTCTGCTAACCACGACATGACGGGAATGCGATAAGAAAAATCGATTCCTCACATTAGCTCCCCTTTTATAAGACTCGTGTCCTCATGAGTCCGGATGCGGCACTTTGGAACTTGTTACTAATCCAATCAAAGAGCATAGGAGGTTTGGAAGTGGCGGTGTAGTTTTCGTAAGGACGGAAGTGGAGAGAAGCGGTAATAATCCGAGGGGCGGCTGGATTTGTTTTATGGAAGGCGGCGAGTAAATCAGCGACATGCGTAAGATTGGTGTCGGGTTCCCAAGTTCGTTCGGAGACTGGATAACCGTGCCAGTGAATGAGGTAGTCGAGTTTACTACCTTTCAGTTTGGTCGGTCTGGAAGCGATTATACTCTCTACTTCGTATTCGTCTATTCCTTCCACGATCTCGGGTGGTGGTCGCGAGGAAATTGGTTGATTGATGAATTCGGGGGCGTGATATGGGGAGAGGATGGCTTCGTTGAACACGGGATGAATGGACTTCCAACTTTTAGGGATATCGAGTTGATAGGCGGAGGGTCCGACCTTTTGGGTGATTTTGAAAGGTCCGAAGCGTTTATCGTCTAATTTCTTCATTGGTCTATCCGTTGTGATGTTATGCCCTTCTAACCAGACTTTGTCGCCAGCTCGGTACTCCCGGGAGGGGGATTTCTTACGGTCGTAATACTTCTTCAGATTCTCGTTTGCTACAAGAAGGGAGGATTTCGTGATATCGT